GCAAGTGTGGACCTCTGAAAAATGAGGCTGAACTGGTAGTAAGGGAGAACGAAGTAGCAACTGAGGAACTGAATGAGCACTCTGCATCAGCATTCAGTGGAAGAAACCAGCTGCATACTAGAACTTCAAGAGTCTAAGGTGACAGTACAGTCGCCATCACGGAGGTGATGGTGCTGGGGAAGCTGAAAAAGGTCTGAAGGTGGATAAATCAACCAGACTGGACGAATTACACACCCCACAGCTCTGAAGGTAACTGAGGCACTGGCGTTGATCTTTCATGAATCACTGGCATCAGGGAGGGTCCCAAAGGATTGAGAAAACAGCCAACGGTAATGCCCTGGGGGGGGGGGGGGGGAGAGAAGAGAAGAGAAGCGAAGCAGAAGACAGGAAACTACAGGCAGGCTAACCGGCCTTGGTCATTGGTAAAATTTTTAAAGTCCACTACAATGGACAAGATTGCAGAGAACTTGGAAGTGCAAGGTAAAATAGGGTTGGGTCAACAGGGTTTTGTCAAGGGGAGGTCATGCCTTACAAATCTGTTAGAATTCTTTGAGCAGTAACAAAGAAGTTGAAACAGAGCTAGTGGATGTATACATTTGGAGTTCCAGAGGCCACTGACAAATGATACACAGGAGGCTGCTAAATAAAACAACAGCCCATGATGTTAGGAGCAAGGTATGGCATGGATACAGGATTGGCAGAAGGGAATGGAAGGCAAATGAAAATCACTTTCATTTTGAGGGGGCTAGAATACAAGAGCAGAAGTGTATTGCGGAGGCTGTATAATGCTTAGTCAGGATACTGACATTTGAGCAATGTTGGGCTCCACGTCTACCAATGTGCTGGCTTTGGAGGGGGTCCAAAGATGGTTTACAAGAATGATCCCAGGAATGAGGGGCTTGTCATATGACCAGCAGTTGAGGACACTGGTCCGTAGAAGGATTTTGGTAGGGGAACAGCAAAGATCTCACTGAAATTTACAGATTACAGAGAGGTTTTAATAACATGGACATGGAGAAAATGACATTTTCACGACCACGACAGACTAGGACCGAAAAGCACAGCCTCACAGTGAAGCAACAATCCTTTAGAACTGAGAAGGAAGAATCTATTCAGCCACTGGGTGATGAATCTGCAGAACTTATTGCCACAGAAGGCAGTGGCAGCCAAGTCTGAGTATTTCAGACAGAAGATAGGTTCTTAAAGTGAGGAGACAGGAGAATGGAGTTGAGAAACATATCAGCCACAATCAAATAATGGAAAAGCTGAGTGGGCTAAATAGGCTAAATCTCCTCATATATCCTTGTAACGCAAGGACCTAAGCTTTTAAAAATTTCCACCCTAAACCAAGATGCTACCTCAAAATTGGCTCATTAAAAAAGGTATTTTTCCAAAAAATTTCATCTTCAGTGGCTTGGTATCACTTTTTATGAAGGGAAAAATCCTAATAAAACAAAATGTTCGAGGTCAATTTAAAATTTTGACCATGCAATAGTTGCAGGTCCAACTCTACAGGATAGAAGTTCTAGCACAGACCCACAGTTAGACATCTAACTTTAAATGCTAGTTAAATTATATTGAGGGACAGAGACAGGATTTCTTCACATACAAGTGCAATGATCAAGAAATACCTGATGCAACCTGTACCTGACTCAAAGTATGCTCCACTTTTAATAGCAAGCGAATAAACTTCACACAAGTAGTTGCAAAACTGAGGAAGATGGGGAATAAATATAAATAAATAGGGAATCCTGCAAGGTTAGGAACGGTAATAAGTCACAGACTGGATGGGTTACATTCTAACACATAAAAGGAATAGATAGAGATAGCGGATGCACTGGTAACAATCTTTCAAGAATTCTTAAATTCTGGGTAAGTTCCATAGGATTGGAAATTGAACAAGGTAGCAGCTTTATTCAAAAAGAAGGTGGAGACAAAAACAAAACAACAACAGGCAACTAACTACAGGCCAGTCAGCTTTAATTTTCCCATGGGGAAAGTTTAATTTATTATAAAAACATGCAATAGCACAGCAAATAAAAACTGATCTAGAAATCTAATCAACTGGAGTCAACACAGCTACATGAAGGGGAAATCAGATCAGAATCCCTAGTGTGGAAACAGGCCTTTCGGCCCAACAAATCCACCCCCGCCCTCAGAGAATCCCACCCAGAACAATCCACCACAGCCCACCTAACCTACGCATCCTTGAAGAATATGGGCAATTTAGCATGGCCAATCCACCTCGCCTGCACACCTTTGGGCTGTGGGAGGAAACCCACGCAGACAGTCACCTGGGGTTGAAACCAAACCTGGGTCCCTGGTGCTGTGACGCAGCAGTGCTAAACACTAAGCCACCGTGCCAGCCTAACAAATTGAGGTAACAAGCAGAACAGAAAAAAGTGGACTAATTAGATAAGATACTTGGATTTCCAAAAGGTATCTCAAAAAAAAAGGCGCCAAATATGCAAGAGTTATTAAATAATGAGAGACCATGGTATTGGAACTAATACATTAGCATGGAGAGAAGATCGGCAACTAAAAGACACTTGGGATAGTCATTTTCAGGTTGGTAATCTACTGCCACCATAATTATTCACAATATAGATCAGTGACTTGGAGGAGAGAAGTGAATGTACTATCAAGTTTGCAGATGACAAAAATAGGACTGGCAAGTGGCGAGTATGAAAATAAGTTTAGGGGCAGATCAAGTGAGTAGCTGAAAAACTTGAAAGATGGATTTGGGGGTCCTTGCCATTTAATCACAGTATATCACTCCTTCAATAATTCCAATAAATTGGCCAAACAATTTTCCTGTCATAAAACCACATGGGCTCCAATCATGTTCTTCCACCCCTGAGTGCTCAATTATAATAAACTTATCAATTCTGACATGTTCCTCATGATGTGCTAGTTTTAAAATCGGTCTTGTGCAATCCTCACATCTATTAAAGCCAGTCTGGACCATATAAATTCGAACTGGCACAAAACAACAGCACTTCACAGGAGGCTCCATAGCACTGAGGATGACATCTCGTAAGGGGACGAAATGTCTGCTGTCAAACCTCACAGCTCTGCAAACACACCAACATCTACATTCTTTTCTGGTTAATTTGACAACAAAAACTCCAAAAAGCACTTCAAACAAAACATGTGCTTCAGCAGACTGGAACAGATTGCCTGCCCTTTAGGAAAGGATGGAAGTGCTATAAGTGGACATCAGTATTAAAAACTACATCAAAGGTTTGGAAAATCTGACTGCATTTTACTAAAAAAAGGAAACTATGCAGCCAACGTATATTGCATCAAAATTCAAAAAGTCAACAGAAATTCAAGATAACAAAGCTCTAGGATAAATGTCAATTAATAAAACCATTTTAATTAGCATACAGGCTAATAGTGCACTTGAACAGTATGCCATTAAACATTAGTTTTCTCACAAGAAATGGGCTTTGCTGGCTAGGTAGCACTTACTGCCCGAGGTGGTGGTGGTGGTGGCGGCAAGTTGCCACCTTCAGCCACAGCCTGTGTATTTGAGATACCCACAGTGTAGTTAGGAAGTTAGAGGGAGCTCATAACCTTGACAAATTTGGAAAGTGCTGAAGGAGCCTTGGCGAGTTGCTCTGCTGCATCTTAACAGATCGCGCACACTGCTACCATGTATAATTGGTGAAGTTACAGAAGGTTCAACATGGATGGGATGTTAAATTGAGCAGGCTGCTTTCTCCAAAAAGCCAGCATATTTGCTAAAAAGTGATAAACAATGTTAGGTGGACAACCAAAGCTTCTAGGAGCAAATAAAAATCAGCAATGCAAGTTCAATTAAAAACGTTATTCCCAATGTTGCGAAGCAGAGGGAGGGAAGTAAAGAAATTGGTGATTGTAATGAAAAAAATTAAAACTCAATTTAAACTCAAGACAGATTGTTGTTAAAAAAAACAAACCGGCAGAAGTGAAATTTTTGAAACTGTTCAGAAGAAAAGTGTATTTCAAGGTTTAAAGTGTTTAAAAAACTAACAGGTCTGTTGGGGTAAGATGGTGGCAAAGCATGTCACAAGTTAATGCAATACAGACTTGACTGTTTTACAAGTTATCTGGAATATCCTTTGAATTTACTACCACTCATTTAAGGACATCTAATGTGGTCTCTCAAATTGGAATACCATTTAAAAAGCAAAAACACCTACCCAAGTATAACGGTGAACTCTGGTACAATTACTAATCTAAAGCTAGGGCAATACCAGAATCAATTATTGAGCAACATTTTGCACTTTTTCCAAAGGAAAAGAGAACCATGCAACAAGGATTCTTTTGGTAATCTGCATACATGGATGGACAAACAAGATCAAGACAAGGTACCACTTGGCTGAACTGCATCATGGGAGAAGGGACAAGTAAACAAAGGTCCTGAAGAAACTGGGCTTTTGCCCATTAATACAGTTTTCATTCAGCCAATGTCTTGCTCGTTTAGAAGAAATGCAAACTAGCCAATTTGTGTACACAACTTTGATTACTTGCCCATGTAGAAAAATTGCAAGAATACATTTAAAAATTTAATCTTAGAATAGATTTAGCAAGTTATAATATTTTACTTTTGCTACATGGACTAATTGCAGTAACATTAAGTTTGAATGGACAGGGTAATAAAAGCCTGAAGCATGCCTCTTGTTTAAAATTTAACTCCTCTCAGGTTTACAGCACTCAATAGCTGCAGATTTAAAGAAGTTCCTTCTGTGGGCTGTGCATCAAAATTGGTATGGAATTTCGCAAATTGATTCCAAACAGAAAAGAAAGCATATAAACCCAATGTTTGAAAAATTCAAGCTCTGTTTATTGCTAACTCCACATCCTCCAATGATCTGAAAGACTGAGTTTTAGTTTCACTTTAACTTGGAGCCCAAATTCTTTAATTATAAACAAAAAAGTCAAACAGAATTTCAAACTTGTTCGTTATTTGAGCAGGTGCATATACTATAATGTGTGGGATCTTAATTACTTACTTTTGCCAGCTCTGGCAACAGAAACATTGTACGTTGCTTCTCCAGTTTGGCTCTTAGTCCTCAAGTCCATTGTGAATTCACCATCAGTAAACAGCTGATCTCTGATAACAGAGCACTTCTTTCCACCCAGGACTAAGCCATGGGTGTAGAAGCTTTGGCGATCCTTTCCAACTAGCACATCTATTTCTGTAGGCTATCAAAAGAAGATTTCAAAAAAAAAAAAAAAAAAAATTGAGTAAACTTGGTGCAAATGCACAACACTTTGTTGCTTGATTCAAACCAATCTTGGCAAACAAGCCGTTATAGACAGCTGTAATTTAAAGTGGCTTAGTATTAGTTCTAAATCAAGATCAAAGTAACAGCTTCCCAGTTATTGAAGGCAACACTTCACACGAATATAACCAGTGAATGTTATAGGTAAATTAATCCTATAGTCTGGAACCATAATTTATAAATCGTGTACTATATTTTTAAGTTGTGAGCTAGAGTCAGGACTGATAAGCAAGCAAATTTGCACACATTTTGTACTGAAAAGGCTTAGCACATTGTAATACTTAGACATTAAAAATTTGCTGAGTTAGCCAGACTTAAAACACAAGAACTCAAAACACATACAATGCTTTGAGAATAGCACGAGCCAAAGTTTATGAACAGGCTACAAAAGAACAGATGTGAAATTTGTAAAATCCTACTACACAGGAGTGATTAGGTTCTGGGATACATTGCCAGAGTTTGGTGGCAGATTCAATTGTGCCTTTCAAGAATTTGGTGATTAAAAGAAACCCTCAGGACCTTTTATTTTGGTGTTGGGGGCAACAAGACAGTCCTTAGATTTCCACTATCATCGAATTTTTATTCGTTGTAGAATTCTGATCAGCATGCTGATTCA